ATTTAAGGTGCGATTGGGACACCATAAAAACCATGTATTTTAATAAAACATTTTATTTTTATCAAAATACTTAGTTTTAAGGTCTGTAAAAATCTAAAAAATAGGTTCAGAAGTCGGTTACGCGTGGGGAATGTTTAACACCCCCACAAGCACCCAAAAATTGGTACCTAGTTGATTACCCTATATTTAAAATCAAAAATTTTGAGTTTGATCTTTATTTAATTTGAAAATCATTACGGATGCAATGTTAAAAAGGGTATTCGTTTATTAAGGCCGATAGCATTTGCCCCTAGCATTAATACGAGATATCAGCTATTGTTCCTAAAACTGGACACTGCCTTAATTTCAGAAATCATGATACGATTTTGAAAAAGATGTCGACCTATTTCAGGAATCACCGATAGTCACCCCCTAAGCATATTTGTGGGAAATATACCATTAATTCCCTAGTAAGTAAACATTGTCTTAGGTTTGAAATTAAAATACAATTAGACAAATTTTACTCGTCTTAATTAAGCTAAGGGTAAATTAATGTTTTTTAGCTTAAAGTGTCAAATTATGAAAATTAAAGAACCTAGAGGCATAAACCTAAAAATGTAGGCTCTAATATTATTCCTATTTTTATTTTGATCAATTATTGAATCGAATAACTGAGATGGTCCCTTGAGCATTTAAGCGATGATCGACTCGAATTATTCCCTAAATTAAGAGGACTATATTGAAATCTAGCTAAAAGTTGATGTTCTATTTAACCTATTTAATTATGTCGATCTTAAAGGTCTAATCGAAGTTCAAGGACTAAAAGGTCAAAGATTTATAATGCCAAGTTCTAAAAGACTAGAAATATAAGGGCCTAAATCAATAATTTCTAAAGTTTGCATACTAATTAGTGAATCAAAAACCTAAGTATTAGCTAATTTAACCTATTAAACTGATCTAAGCCTAAAGTGTTTTTTAAAAATTGATGATTAATAAATTTTAAAGAAGTTGAGCAATCGATTCGAGTAATCAGCATCTTATTCGAAAACTCGACTCGAATTGCTCCCTAATTAATAACTAAGGTCTCGCCCTAATTTCTAAGTCCGATTTGAGTTCTAACCTAATCTGAGGCTAAAATCTAAAACTTAAAATTGTGGAGTATCGAATCATTTAAATAACCTAATTAAAATAAAAAAATAGAAAAAAAAAACAAAACATAAAAAATAAAATAAAATAAGCATACACAAGGACCAAATTACAATAAATATCGAATTACTAATATAAAAAAATAATAAATTAAACTTATAATAGGGTCTAAATTAAAACGAAACAAAATTAAATGGTTAAATCTAAACAAATAAAAAATAATTTAAGGAATAAAATGCAAAAGCACGTAGAAACTACAGGGAAAGTCTACTATTCTGCCATAGCATGTTTTCAACTTTAAGCACAAGTTCATTACTCCCATTTCCATTGAACACTAAATTTAATTAAAAAAATTACATTGCTACAATGAGAGTCAGCTTGTCACGACTATCATCCCACACTATAGATGAATGGGAGCATACCTTCCATCCTCGAGCTAGACTGTAGAGTCACCCCGTGACTACTTTCATTCACTCATATACCCATGGATGTCATTTACTGAAACGCAATATCCATTTAATGCCATGGCAAAGAGGAGTGTCCCTCTACGGTTATGTCAAAACATTTCTTCAAAGTTAAACACAATTAACAAAAATAAGGGAGTTCAATTCAACAATTAATTTCATTCGTAATAATACACACTAAGGCATTCAAGCTTTCATTCTATAAAAATTTCCTAAAATTCCTAAGCATAAAGAACATACAGTCGTGTAAATATTAAAAGCACAAACAACCAAGTCCTAAAACAAATCCTATCCGAAGTCATGTATATTCAGTTCACATTAACCATAAAGAAAAATATCATCATCGGGCATCATCAACTTATTCCAACAAATTATCCTAAGTCCTACTAATGTCATGACAAATTAATTCATCTAACCCTATAATGCAAATAACCTAATAAGAACAATACCTCCAAAAAACTTAAGGGGTGCGTTGGCCTCAATGCAACAAAATAAACTAAAGTAAAAAATTAAATTACATGCTATGAATGCAATACAAGGTACCTTGGCTTTCTAAGATGGTTGTCGTGCTGTGGTGGCTGTGATGCACGTGGTGTTCCTCTTTAATGGGTGTGGCCTCAATTCTGAGTCTAAAACAGGCTCAGTGGGTGGGATTTGAACATAGTCAGGTTCCTCAGCAGGTGAGCTCTCGACTCCTCCCGTGGACTTCTTTAGACGACGTTTGGTCCTACGTACGGGCGATTGTTGCCGCATTTTGGATTGTGTGGGCACTTCCCCTTATGGTTCATTAGTAGTGGTGTGGGCCTCCATGGGTTATTAAAACTCGACTTGGGTTTCTGATCTACTAAAAAAACTAATATTAAAATAAATAAATAAATCAAATACACAATTGAAACAAAACAAAATTTGCTATAACAAAAAATAAATAAGATTAAAGGAAAGTAAACTCCAAAACATCCTGAATTGATATGGAAGTTTTGTCTCTTTCGATTGGAGCACCAGTATAGACCAAAATTCCCCATACATATAATAGTTCCACCTTTAGTATGAGCCAACAGAACCCAAATTGTAGGACCCTTGCAGCAGTCTTTGCTCCTTCCGAATACTCTTTTACAGGGACATATCTTGTAATAATTTGGTTAGCACATTATTTGAAGAGGTAGGGGTCATCCGAATGACAGTAGCGAACATCGTGTATGAACTTGCTCTTTCCTTGGCTACTCAAACCAGAAGCCAAATTACGACTAACGAGAAAATTGACAATGTCAACATACCACGGAATTACCGTGATAAATAATAATTTCTTATTAGGAAATTCCTCTTTAATTTCTAATTCATTCCTCGGGTCCTTTATAATTTCAAGCCTAGAAAGATCAGTAGCTACTTGGGTTTTAATCACAAGCAAGTTCTCATTGCATCCCAAGTAAGCATATTTAAGATTTGATCGAAAAGGCTTTAATTCTAAGGAATGTACATGTTGTAATAAGGGCTTAGTAGGAATAGATTCATCGAAATCAAGAGGTTCAAAGCACATACCTAGTCTAGCTGAAAGTAAGCTAGAATATTGTAGCTCTAATGGAAAGTCCTCGGCCTCCTCTTTGTTGTCCTCATCAAAGAGCTTTTCAAAATTGTTCAACTGTATGAAATTGTTGTGGAAAAGATTTTTTGCTTCACCTTCTATCATTGAGTCTATTTCCAGAATGATTTGGCTTTCTTCATAATCATCCACATAATTGAGAAAACGAAAGACATTCACGGTCACACTTTGATCAGCCACTCGCATAGTGAGTTCACTCTTCTAACAATCAATAAGAATGTGACTCGTGGCTAAGAAAGGTCTCCCCATAATTATAGGTGCATTGGCATAAACCTCGCAATGAAGTATAAGGAAGTCGATTGGAAATACAAATTTAACCATCTGCAGTATGACATCCTCGATCTTCGCCTCATGACAAACATGAGAACGATCGGTTAGTTGCAAAATAAGAGAGATGGGTCTTGCATCTCCCATCCCAAGATTTACAAATATTGATTTAGGCATAAAATTCACGCTTGATCCAAGGTCACACAATGCCTTCCCAACATAGTTGTCTCCTATAGAGCATGTAATGATAAAACTGCCTGGATCTTTTTTGGTCCAGTGGCAGCTTGCTCAAGGCAGAGCAATACTCTTTTGTTGTGGCAATTCTCTCAAACTTCTTGACTTTTCTCTTCTTTGTAACAATTTCCTTGAGCAATTTGGCATATGTGGGCATTTGATCAATGGCCACCAGGAGTAGGACAATGATATAAAACTAGTCAAGAATGTCAACAAATTTCTTGAATTTCACCTCATCATTATGCTTCTTGAATCTCTGGGGAAAGGGTGGTAGGGGTCTAACTTCTTCTGCTGATGGCGTGGGAAAAAATTTTGTTTTGGCATTTTTGTTTTTCCCATCAGCAAGTTCACTAGTTGAACCCTCATTACTATCCTTCTCCTCGAGTTTCTTTTCTGGAAATTCTAGTTCTGCTTGCACATTCATGCGGGTGGAATCATCAAACTTCTTTCCCCAAACCTGTCTTGTTGGTTGATTTGGGTGCCATTTCGTAATGTAAGTACACTACATTGCTCCTTGCTATGAGGTTTTAATGACTTCAATGTAACTTAACAAACAACATGGCTGACGTTATTGCAATACTACGGCAATCTGTCCAACCTAACCTTCCAAAGCTCGCAGAGATGCACTGTGACATTGCAACAAGGTTCCTTAATTTTTTTATAGCTAAAGAATGCTCTTGCAGCATAGTCCATGTGCTTGCTATAAATTCTTGCATGGTAGCCTCTAGTGAGTTAGTGTTAGATGAAGATGTTGTCTCCTTGTAGAATTATTCCAAGGCATATTAGATAGAAAACCTTGGGGCTCGTTTACATTATATTGTTGAGTTGGATGACTAGTATTAGTGGTCCTTGATTTCCCCACGAAAAATTAGGATGTTGATACCATCCTGGATTGTAAGTGGAGTAGGGGTTATTGTTGTTGTTGCTTCGATTGAAATTCTTCACACAGTTGATGGATTCTTAATTTTCTGGGCAATCACTCTCATGGTGATTGCCACGACATAATAAACATGATGAGTTGGCCACCTTCACTTCTTTCACCTCATTGGAACGTTGCATATTCTTCAACATATTGGTATAGCAGAGAGTTGGCAGAATCCTTAGCATCTAGTTCGAATGTCCCTTGTGTCTTCCTCCCTGTTCCAAGCATTGAAGTAGAGAACTAGTAGTCATTATTGGTAATTCTATCAAGAATGTCGAAAGCCTCTTCAAGTTATTTGTCTAGAAAAGTGTCATTTGCTGAGGAATCTAACATTATCCTGGTGGGTGAATTGACTCCATTATAAAACATTACAATTTGAATCCAATCTTGAAATCCATGATTAGTACATTTTCAAAGCAATCCCTTGTATCGGTCCAAGTATTCATACATAAATTCATCATCAGCTTGATGAAAAGATGTTATGTCATTTCTGAGTTGAGTGTTCATGTTCGGTGGATTATACCGCAATAAAAAGCTTTTACACAGATCAGCCCATGACTCCATCGAGCCGGATGGAACTCCACTCAGCCAAGCCCTTGCTCGGTCACGCAAAGAATATGGAAATAATTTAAGATTCAACACATCCTCATGCACTCCTTATTGCCTGAAAGAGTCACACACCTCCAAGAAAGCACGGAGGTGTTGCCTAGTATCATAATGAGTCATGCCCCCGAACTGTCCTATGAAATTCAACATGTTGAACATTACTTGCTTGAGCTCGAAGTGGAATGCCTAAATCTCAGGTGATACAATCCCTGTGTTAAGATCATCCAAGATAGGTTAAGTAATCTCGAATAGCTTTAGGTCGAGTCTGATTTGTCGTAGTATTGGATCTACAAGATCTTGAACTCGTTGAACTTCTTGGTTTTGATCATTGTTCATAGCTTTATTAACACGTTGAGCACGTCGTCTTCTACGGAACAAATGTTTGGTTTTAGGTACTAGAGGATAAAGAGGTTCCTCAACAGTCCTTCTAGTTATGTACTGGCAAAGCCTGAAAAAGGAAAACAAGGAAAATAACAAGTAAAATTATACTAGAAAAATAAACATGAGTAAAATAAAAAAGCTATAACAAAACTGTTAAACTTCCAATTGCCAATTCCCGGCAATGATGCCAAAACCTTGTTGCGTATTGTGAGTACTATAAATTGGATGCAAAATATGTGCAAGTATACACAGTCACACAAGTAATAAAGAGTGAGTGAGTATCATTCCCACGAGGATTGGAGGAAATTGCAAGTTAAGGTAAAGCACAAATATTAAACTACCTAAGTATAGTTAGTGTGGTGGCATGCACAAATGAGAATGTACTAGCAAAATGGAATGTGTGTGAATGTAGGTTTAATGGAATTGTGAAAATGTGATGGTGATGTGGCAGATGGAAATGTTGTGGCAAGTGAAAATGCTTTTGGAATATAACCAACTGAAAATGTCAAACAAAAACAAGTTGAGAATTCAGAAATAAATAAGCAGACTTAATAATGCTCACACAACAATATACTATGGAAATGAATGGTGAGATTTCTAAGGAATCCTAAGCCTTACATCTCAGAATTATTCAAGCTTCTATGGTCTAATTACATGACAGGGTTTACTAAGAATGTCCCTACGCTCTCTCAAGTCAAGGGAACCTGACATAGACAAATGCCACGACAATACCTCTAAGCATGAACAGTAACATCGAACCTATCGAATATATAGTACTCCTTTTAGTCGTTGAAATCCTAGCCTTTTCTCTAAGGTGGCACCTCATACCACCACAATGGCACCTTAGCGAGCTAGCTCCTATCGAATGCCTAGCACGCCACACCCTTGAGCTTGACTATGGAGGAGACCCTTGAAAATATAAAAGGGGAAAGAAAGTTGGAAGTTTTCTAGCCGCCTTGCTTAGCTCACTATTTCCCTTAAAGAATCCTAACTTTCATTTTGTGACCACCTTTTTTATTTATACTAAGGGAATATCCTAGGTTTTACTGTAAAAATTCCCTTAGTACCCTAAGGTATACTCTCCTCACTTGAAAATGGTTCCAAAGGCAGTTGTGGTCCCCTCCTAGGCAGTTGGTGGCAGAAAGCACGTGAGTGTGTATGAAAATATCTTCTTCATGTTTGTCTTTTTCTGCATACAGGAGTAGTCCCAATTTGTCTCGAATATTTTTCCCTGATTGCCATCGGAAGATATCGCGGCATTCCTCCATGTTCACCCCTTGCTTCATTGACTTGCACATCACCAGCAAAGCATAAACCTTCCTCGTAAAATAGCACCATTTACACAGTAATATTCCACGATAAAGCTAAACCACCAAATGCAGCTATATGCTCCTAAATGCATCTACATGATCCTATATGTGTCTTAAGTCAACCAATAACTTAAGTAAAAAAGCCTTAAATTTAGCCTTTTTACAGAGTTATCACATGATAACTATTGTTGTACGTGAACTCCACAAAAGGTAAGTGATCTTTCCAACTACCCTCAAGATCCAAAACGGTGCACCTAAGCATGTCCTCTAAGATCTGAATAAATCGCTCGGACTACCCATCTGTCTAAGGATGAAAGGCAGAGCTAAAATGCAGTTTAGTATCCAAAGCTCCTGTAGTGCTTTCCAGAATCGAGAAGTGAATCGCGAATCTTTGTCGGATACGACCGAGATAAGAACTTTATTCAACCTCACAATCTCGCGAATATACAGCTGAGCCAATCTCTCTAACGTGGAGTCCATCCAAGCCGGAAGGAAGAAAACGGACTTGGTCAAATGGTCCACTACAACCCACAAGCATCATGCCAAAATCTCATCTTTGGTAGAGCGATTACAAACATTGCTAATATTAACTGATTTAACATACATCTTTTTTTGTTCTGTATTTACCCAAATTTAATATCCTATTTTATTATCCAATACCAATATGCTTGAAATTTAATTACGACACAAATTAAGTAGAAATAAGTAGAAATACTCAATAATAAAAAAATAAATCAAAATTTATAAACTTGAAAGTGAAATGTAATGTAGTTCAACATTGTTCACAAGAATAAACAAAGTATGAACCAAAGAAATCACTTAAGATGCTTCCAAGAAACAACAAAATAATGACTCCACCATGCACTTGAGATGCGAGTGCTTCATACCAACTGTTGAATAAAGATTGTCCACCATGGTAGGCATGGTTATACCGTTGAGAGAGTAATTTTCCATATTCTTTTCCCCTAACTTTGTTTCTGCAATCCTTCTCCCAATGGAAAATGCAGGCTGTTTTGCCAACGGCAGTTGCATTTCTCCATTTCCAATACCACTAACCATTTCCAACACCATTACTCCAAAACTATAAACGTCAGATTTTTCAGAGAATATGTCACATTTAAACTTAAAATTAAAACTAAAACTGGCTACGTCAAACTTTCTTATCATAGATAGATAAGCATCGTCAATTTAATAAATTCCACTCATTGTATTTCACCCACAATTTCCACCACATAAATGAATAACCTAACCCATTATAGATATGTTACTGTTTATTAATATCCAATGATTAGAACAAACCTGACTAGATCCATATATAGTTCCACTAGCAATGGCACCAGGGGCACTATAAGAAACCTTGGAATAATTCAACAGTTCAGGTTACTACAGCATATCTATATAGTATAATTTCCGTATAAACAAAACAACTCTTTTCCTCTTTCATTTCCGCCAAGAATATCCCCAACCCAAAAGAAGGTACAAAGGGGTGAAGTTAGCATCGTTGTTTCTAGAATCTGTGAAGTTACCATATGAAGAAGCCTGAAACTCAGAACTAAATGCAGTGGTTTTCAGTCATTTATAAGCACTTTTAACTTTAAAAAAGAAAAGAAATGAAGTAAGAAATGAAACACAAGTGATTCAAGTGCTACTTAAATTTAAATCATGGAGTCATATGAAAGTAGGACTTGTCAACTTACACTTTCTCCATTACAGGAAAATAGAGAAGCTCAAACTTCAAAATGACAGCTGATGAGAAAGTGTCCTGTTAGATAGTACTACATCAGCAACGTAATAGGATATAAAATTACATATATTGACTTTTAATGATTCAGCCATAGCAAAACAAATCAAGGTAGAAAAGATTTTGGCATCTTTTAACATCAAAAGAGCAAAGCATCAAACTTCTAATATACTAACAATAAGTCATATATTTATTAATGAAAATATGTGAATAAGTGGTACAGGCAGATTAGAGCCGTGTGAGTTCTGGCAATGCATGTTGTTCTCTCCACTGCTAAAAGAGTGTTGCATGTAAATGTGAGTATATGTGCAAAGAGAAAAAGAGAGATTTACTACCTCATTTTTAGTAAGGGGTAGATTAAATGCAACCAAGATAGATAAAAGAACATATTGTTTCACATATTTTATTCGAAAAGGCCTTGTTGCAAAACTGTTGTTGGTATCATCAATCCTCCACACTTTATATACATCATCAACATTAGGAGCTGTACGAAGACATCAAATGTAACTTCATAGGGCAATTTTAACACACAACTGCTCCCTCCAAAATGAATTTATCAATATAATTTGTTGTCATTCTTCTTCAGGAGAAAAAAAAAGTTAACCTTCGTTCTATTTTTTTTTTATTTTTTAGTGGAAAAGCAGGGAACACTTATCACCTATCCCTATCCATGCAGCAACGTTCTTCCTCCTGCAGCAGCGCAACAATAGCCGCTGGTGGAAGCTGGTGGACATGAATTGCAGAGACACCCGATACATCCAAGTGCGCGAGACAATCCGCCACCCGATTCCTCTCCCTAGGAACATAATAAAACTCTATCCTCCCAAACTGGCTACCAAACCGACGATTATGGTGAGCTAACACCATCGATGTAGGCTTCCTGGAACTATCATTGATTGCCGCAATAGCCTGTTTGCTATCCAACTCCACCCACACAGCTGCCGAATCCAAACTTCGAGCAAGAAAAATACCCTCGTAAATTCCCCAAAGCTCATCTTCAATCAGTGAACAAAACACCACTTTCTTAGTAAACCCCGAGATCCATTTCCCTGTATAATCACGGATAGCACCCCCACATGTGGCAAGCGCATCATCTTTCTGTCACGCCCCATCTGTATTGATTTTAACCACCCCTACCGGTGGCGGACTCCACGAGCAAGCATGGTTAGGCCCCTGATAACGGATTACCACAGAATTATTTCGAGCAGCCACTGCTCGACCCATTTCATCCTTAAATCATCTGCTTTGCTAAACGATACTTTCAGTGACCACAAAACTTGGGTCAAAGACAAGGCAATGCCGCCGATGCCAAAGATTCCACTCCACGGCCACAAATCCCAGTCCTCGGACTCTAAAGGAAAATAGCTCGGCTGCGTTATATTGTTATTTATCCAATCTTGTAGAGGCAACTCTTGAAACTCAATAAGCCGGCTTGGTTTATGTCATAACAGTCTTTCGGT